ACAGGAGACAGTGCGACCACAGATACAGATTTCAATGCAGAAATAGTACAAAAACCCAAGTTGTCCAGGACTGAGATGAGTCTTCACAGGTCTTTGTCCCAATCTGGATCACCTTAAATGCCATCAGCTTCCCTTGCAGCCCAGAAAGAGAAAGAATTGCAACTTCCTGCAGGAGTTGAAGAGCCCATAACCAGGGACAGAAAACCCCAGAAGAGGTAAATCACAGTTGGAGACATTGATCTCTGCCTGCTTGACATACCTCACTGCTAAGTGACATCTCCTTGTCCCTCCAGGTTAAACTCAACTGCTGCTACCCAGGAAGAAAGCCTTTGTGGGAGAAAGAGGGTCCTGGGAGGGGAGATGCCTGAGGTTTCAGAATTACAGGGGCAGTGGAGATGTCCTGGGGGTTTCACTGTGTGGGTCTGAACTGCACAGGGATGTCACCACTTTCCCTGGTTTTCTGTCCCGACCTTGAGCAAGGCAGGAAACTAGGAGTTTGAGACAACCCTAGACTCTGGTCAGGAGACATTCTGTTTGTTTTGCTGTGACAGATGCTTCAGTGGAGGACATGCTAACTGGGGATGGTGTGGAGCTGGACAGTTAGGTAAGGTCCCTGTCGACATCCATAGTGCTAAACCTTAGGGCCCAGTTTAGTCCAAGGGCCTTCTTTCATCTGTCTCCCTCACCTCTCTGCAATATCCACAGCTGACCACTCTGTCCATTCTGCCAGCAACTGCCTCCTGTGTGCTATGGACTCACTCCTTCCTGGTATCTTAGCATCTGTCTTGATTTCTTCTGAGGGGGAAGCCTGGGTGCAGAAACTCACAGTGACATCTAAGGGACCAGCAACTGCCATCAGGGAACACAGTAAAGCAAAAGGAACTAGGGCAGCTATATGAGCTTTTGTGTTTCAGTTTGTGTATTGGTGTTTTGCCTGCATGTATGTCTCTGCATTACAAGCATGTTGATGCTCCTAGAGGCCAAAAGAGCATGTGAGGTATCCTAAAAGTAGGGTTATATTTGATTGTAGGCTGCCATGTGGGTTCAGGAGGCCAAGCTGGGTCCTCTGCAAGAGCAGCCAGTGATCTTAATCATGGAGCCATCTCTCCAACTCTTGGAAACCATTTTCAGGAAGATGAACTGTGTAGCTGAAGACAACACAGCTAGGCTTAGAATGTTAGGTTAAGCCAGAACTATAAGAAGGAAGCCCAGGAAGATCCCTTCAGAGAGGCAGTAATCAAAACAGGTCATTCCATCCATGCTATGAAAACTTAAACACAGGAGATTTCCAGGGGAACATGGAGATGCTATCTGTACCTCACTGCTTCCCTGCTACAGAGACCACCTGAGGAAGATCCCCAGGGAGAGACATATGCTCAGGTGAAACCCTCCAGGCTTAGGAGGGCAGGAGCTCTCTCACCTCCTGTCATGCCAAAGGAACAGCTGAACACATAATATGATCAAGCAGAAGAGGGTCGAGAAGTGGACAGTCAGGTGGGACCTATCCTCCACAGACCTGCAGGTTCCCCAAGCCAAGCATATATCTTCCTGTCACCCTTTCCCTCTCCAGGTTGCCGAATTCGAGGTGCCCCAGGATGTGACCTATGCCAAGCTGTGCAGTAGGACACTGAGACAGGGGACAGCTGCACCTCCTCTCTCTCAGACAGAGGAAGCCCCAGAAGAGCCAACTGTATATGCTGCTCTAGCGACTGGTTTTCCGGGGACTGTTCCAAAGTACAAGGAGCAATGACCCTCTGCCTGCCAGGATGACTAACAGAGACCTCCAAGGGACTCTGGGAACTTTTGGAAACCTGACAGCACTTTAAGTAACATCACAATTTGGAAATAAAGCCAGAGATTTCTCAATAATCAAGTGAAATGAGAAATGAAATAGAAGGGAAGGTTTTACATTGAGTGCTAACTTTAACGATATTTCTCAACAAATGAGAAAATTTACAGGCACAATTGCACAGTCCCATAATTCCAACAAATTGGAGGCTGGGGCAGGGGAATTGCCTTTGTTTTGTGGTGATAGTGGGGTATGTAGTGTATTTCATGATAGACTGGGTACAGAGTGAGACATGTTTCAAATAACATTAGCTACCAAAGGCCAGAATGGAGGTGTGCACCTGAAATTCTAGCACTTTGTAGGAATGGAGAGGAGAGTAAAGAAGTCAAGGCCATCTTTAGCTACATAGCCTAGGAGTAAGAGGCTAGCCTGGAACACACTAGACCCTGTAAAATTAGATAAATAAGTCAGGCTTGGTAGTGCATGCCTTCAATCTAAGCACTAAGAAAGTAGAGACAGCCAGATATGAGAAAATCTCTGTGAGTTCAAGACCAGATAGTCTACAGAGTAACCTCCAATACACACAGGTTCATATACAGAAATCTTGTCTTGAAATATATGAATAAAATAAGGCCAATAGGATGGCTTAGCAGTAAAGGCACTTGCGACCAGGACTAATATCCTAAGTTCAACAGCAGGAACAGTAGAAGGAGAGAAAGGATTCCAAGAACACTCTCTGACTTCTACCCAAGACCTTTATGTCCTTCCCACACCCAATAAGGAAGTAGAACAATTAAACAATAAACAAATAACCACAAAGGAAAACTTGGTATGGTGGTATAAACTTCTTTTCAAAGCTGAGATAGCTTTAAACTTACTGTCCCCCTGCCTCAGCTACTGGTCTGTACAACACTATATTCACTTTATTTTTTGTTTATTTTTGTCTATGATTGTGTGCCTGTGTGAGTACACGTCATGTGTATACACGTGTTCACAGGGGACAGAGAGAACACAGGAACTGAGAATAGATGTTTGAGCTGTAACCTGGGGGTGCTGAGAACTAAACTCCAGTCCTCAGCAAGAAAGTTGTATGCTCTTAACCACAGAGCCATATCCACACCCTTGTTACATTTCTTTACAAAGTAGTAACAGAATCCAATTGCCCTTCTGGTCTGCAACTCCACGTCCACCCAGGCAGATTCATGTGCCTGCTCCCGAACCCAACAGCCCTATTTGTCTCCCCAGGAGATCTACCCTATCCAGGGACACAGTTGAGGCCACCCACACAATACACATGTCATCTTGGACCCCCACAGTGCTGAGCAGACTTGGTATCTGTTCTGCTCTGCTGGAGCCCCTAATGGGCTTTGGGTCTGCAACTATACAGGCACCCTGGGTTCATCAGTGTGCCCATTCCCTCACACCTTAGCCCTGCCTGTCTCCCAGAAGATCTGCTATAACCACAGACACAGGAGGCCTGCCCTAACCAGGGAGAGAGGAGGCTCGGTCTAACCAGAGACAGCACTGTCTGACTCCCAGGAGGCTGGCTGTAACCTGGGGCACACAGCTCCACCTTTCTCCAAAGGAGATCAACTCCAATATGAGACACCCAAGCTAGTTATCATCAGAGTCAACTAGATGGCAAAAGGCAAGTGTGAGATCCTAATCAACCAAACCCAATGCAAATTTGGCAACATGACAGAAGCCAGCTTTCCTACCACAGCAGGCCCTGGATGAATGAAGAGCAAGATTCTGACCTTGAATCTCATCTCA